TAAGAGTTATGTACAGAGTAATATTGTGTGTGTGTTAAAGGGAGGAGGAACATTTGGGAAGAAGCTTCTCCCGGTCAACGGAGACACGCATAACACTTTCGCTTCGGAAGGTGTGACTGAAGTTTTTTGAAGTCAGCAAAAAATAGTTTACAACTTCGGAACGCAAAATGTTAAGAGACTTGCTCTTTTTTCGAAATTGAAATTTAAGGTCTCTATTTTATTGTGGAAAATTACATATAATTTTGAAAATTTTCAAAGGACGTACTATTGCGTCCACCGTCGTCCGGTGCTAGTTAGGGCTGGACGTACATTTATGTCCATCGGATCGAAAATGTTAACCCTGCCTTGGTCGTCGAGTCGAGTCGTTTTGACCCACAACCATGATCCTTAGATAACTATGGTCATGGGACTCGAGTCTTACGGTTGATTGGGGACCCGAGCTCCCGCCAGATGGCAGTGGCAGCAGCTGCAGGCTCATGCATTGCCCACATAAGGCAACAAGCTTTACTAATTGTCTTTATGGGTATGGACATGCCCATACCACACCATGGGCATCCAGTGTTCTCTCGGGATCATGCTGCTGTTCGTAATTGAATGGCCAGGTTCATACAGTGTTTTTCACTTGACTCACACATGTACGAGGTTCCTGGGTCAGGTGAATAAATGTCTGACTAAGGTGAAAATACTTTAGCTGGTACTTTCCAATCCGTGGAATAATCAATGTCCAACGCATATACAAGCACTAAGTTTTCCTCGTTGGTCCCTCTCGCTTCCATTCAAATACTGCGTATTCCTCTAAGGAATTATCTCCTGTTCTTCAGGAGAGAGGATTTTCACCACTTCGTAAGTTGTAGGGAGGTGTTGGCTTTCCATGCTCTAGCTAAGCCTTGCCGTCCAATAAATAATCAAATTTTAAGGTGTGGCCACTGCAACATGTATTCCCCCAAAACCAGCAGAGTGGGAAAAAAACCCACAATGAAACTATTACTAGTTTTTTAAGTAGATAATTAATAGAAATAATAACAAATTATTAATAATTAATATAAGAGAATATATAATTAATAGAAATAGTAAATATGATAAAATCAATATAGATGTATACCATGATAATAAAATTGCATGAATGGGAGGAATTTAGGCCTACCGATGTGATAGATTTGCCAGCTTTCTACAGTTAGCGGCCCTCTGTTTTGTTCCTCTCGTACCTGTCTCGCGAAGAAATTAATTCGGTATATTACATAAAAATGAATTACCCTAACAAATAATAAAGTTCTATGAGTTGAACACCTCAATGGGAGGGAAGTCAAATCACTGTCAAGAGTGCGGAATTGCATTTTGCGAAATTTCGGAATTGTAAACAGGTGGAAATTTCTTTGCATGATCTGCACCCTGTGTTACAATTGGGAACACTACATTTTCTGGGCATTTCGCCAAAGAAAACTTAAGAAAAGGGCAATTTTACGGTAACTCATGACTGGTAGGCACATGAGTTTCATTTAACCTGTTCCAAGGCGAAGTTAGGCCTATTACGTCATATCATAACATTCTTCAAAAACGTTGATTGAAACCAAACATTAAGCGTTAAACATAGAATAAACATTTGGCTAGATCCATGGGATGATCTGGTAGCGACTGAACCGGTGCACATATCTACTCTATGATAGGTCTTAATGTTATCCTAGGTCTATATCGACCGGACAGGATGAGGTCATACGCTTGGCAATAAGCAACGGAGTAGGGGTTTGCCTAGGTCTAGGCAAAGTTCATATGGTTAACCATGTTCTAACGATCATAAAATTGTCTCGCTAGTAAGTGATGGTCGGAACATGAAATCAGAGACTGCCTAATCGTTCATGATATGAGCAAAATTTGCGTACCCCCCAATCTGTGCTATAGGGCATAATTTGGGACAGAAATTGAATTTTCCTAACACACAATGCAATGGAAGCGCCACTATGGGCCTGCTACGTATCGATGCACCATCTACCGGCGAGATTTGATTTCAACTCCAGGCCGTCATAGGGCATGGGTCGAGTCCTGTGACCATAGCTATCTAGGGATCATGCCCACAACTCAATTTATGTTTTTATGTGTACTAAAGGATTGTGAATATTTTTTTAAATATTATAATTGTTTGTATGCATACATTGATTGATGGCTGGTAACAGGTGTATCCGTTTCATGTTCTTAGAACCAGCAACTCAAACAAAACCGCAATAAATTTTGAAATGTATGGGTTTTTTTTTCCCTTTTGTGTTACCTTGGCCAAGTAGGGTTTTTTTTTGTCTATGGTCTTGTTTTGTATTCACATGTCTTGAGGATGAGGGTGATATTTCCTGTGAGTTCAATTTGAGATGGTTTTTACGGTGGGACACGAAAGTGCCTATCCTGTACAAATCGATGCATGAATGCGGCATATTATGCAATATGCGAACCCTACACTATTACAGAAGTTTTCTGTAAATTATCTGTCTTTGAAAAGAAAAAAAACGTGTGGCCATTACTCGAGTATGTATGAGGTAGCCTCTCTTTCAGGAATCACTATGTAGTACTTTCTGAAATGGAGGCTGGCGAATGGATAATGCTTTCATGTCGGGATCGATCATCGTCTCTCGGGTCTGTTTCGGGACTACTATACATGGGTATACATACATGTATCTCACACCACGACTATTATCGTCGTCGTCTTCCTCCTTCGGATGATCTTAGAAGGGGGAAAGGAAAACGTAAATCTTATCGGTTCTCTTTCCTTAGTTCAGCTTGAAGCTGATATCGCCATATTCCAACCCAACCCAGCTGCTTTTTCATTCTCCCTTCCCGGCCTTTTTATACCAGGAAACGGGGGTGCTAAATGATGCAAGGAAAATTGACTGCTCCCGAAAGTGATCCTCAATGAGTTCTTGCTGAAGGAGACAGATCCCCTGCCATATGTTTTCTCGGGTCGGAGGATGAGAGAAACCTTCTCTCGGGCTTGTCATCTCCCATCCTTCATCTCCTGTTTAATCAATATAGACCCCCCAGCTCAAGACAAGCAAGGAGAAAGAAAGAGAGAAAAATCCTCATTCCATTTCCAGATTCTCTTTCCTCTCGTCTCTCTCATTTCATTCCTTTCATGGACCTGTCTCCAGCAGACCTTCGAGGAAGGAAGGAGATGCGATGACGAATTCCATTGAATGGCAAAAATCCGTCTTTGAGATCTCTTTTGCAGACATAGCAAGGGAAATGGAGTCTAGTCTGGTTATGTATGCGATACATCGATCCTCTGCGAGAAACATGAAAGGACGAAGATATCAGTCGACATCTTGTTCAAGGCTGTTTTGCATGAAGAAAAATGGGCGGCTTTGGAGACGTCTTGGAAGAGAGAAATGGAGATCTTATGGTCAGAATCCCAGATGACATGTGAGCATTATAAGGATTTGTAGGAGCCGGACATGTCAGGAGCAATCAAGTCATGTAATCCTCTTCCCCGGCCCAGTTAGAAGGGGGGAGGGGGATGGGATAAATTTCCCTGGAAACCCCGAGCCTAAAGAGAAAGAGGAGGAGGAGGAAGAAGATTTCCTACCCTTTGATAATGACAGGAAGAAGTCTTTAGTATCAGCTCTCCTTTTTCGTTCATTCCACTCACGAACGGAGAAGGTTCCCTTCATCTCATCTTGTCTTTCCCCAGCCTTTCTCGTCTCTCATGCCCTGTGCCCTGACTCTTGGAACAGGAATTCGTCAATGTTTTCCATCGTCGTCTGTTTACCACATGAATATGGGAAAGACTTTGTAAAAAAAAAAATATTCATAAAAATGGTGGAGGTGGACGTCCAACTTTTGGGTTAAGGAGCAACTAAAAGTTGAAGGCATACGGAGGCAGAAACTATCTGAGATGCTGAGAACCCAAAAGAAAATCGAAGACTAGATGAATCTGCAGAAAGGGTGTCATTATGGAGAGGACGTGAGTGAATGGTCAAGGCAATAGGGTGAAAGCCCTGTGCATACGAGGCGGTTGAAATGAGCATAGTTCATCTGGGTTTGTTTCATCGGTCTCCTACTTAGTTGCTTGTGACCTCGTTGATGAAAGGATGGAAAGGAGTGAGAGAAGGAGACATCGTATCAAGGAATCAGCGGTATGACTTGTAGAGAAATTCAAAAGCAAGAGATGGAGATGCCATAGAAAAAAAATTTTTTTCTCTCTTCTCCGTTTTCATGCATACTCTTTATGAAACTTTATATATCACGTCAAGTATGCCCGGCCTACCATGTTTCTTTTTTTCCTATATCTCTCGAGAGAAGTGACGTCCGATACATCGTCATGGGAAAGAGTCGTATTGATTGCATCTCCGTCTGGAAGTGCGTTGTTGGCTTAGGAGAGTCTAGCTATCTAGAGCGGAGGATCCGACATCGTAACCAATTATGAATTAAAGGTGCCATTTTTTTTTGGAGGAGGAGGAGCCTTTGGGGGTCAATTTCACTGAAGAACAGTAGCATACGCATGTTTATGTACAATTGCCCCTGAACATGTTTTCGCGTGGGAGGAGATAACTCTGCCTACTTTCTCATTTCGTTCCCTCTTTCTCTCTGCTCCATTCCACCCTCCCTTCCTCTCTGATGTTTTCTTTTTCTTTCTCTTCTCCCTTCCTCATGGATGTCTCTTTCATTTCATCACGTAATGAGGAGGCCAGGAAGCCAAGAGAGAGAGGAGATGAGGGAATAGAAGGGAAGAAAAAAGAAAGGATAGGCAGAGTGGAAATTCGATTAAAGGCCAGGGCATCAAACAGTCTGTTCCCATGAGGTCCCTGTCCGCTGCCCATCTCCCAATGAGGCTGTGTCCTGCGTTTCTCTCTTTTTCTTTTTGTCTTTTGCCCTTATTCCTTTCGCCTTGGACCAGATCAAGAGAATTCTCTTAGATTGGCTTTCCTTCCCCCCCCCCCCCCCCCCCCAGACGAACCCCGTCCAAATGAGAAGGTTTCCTCTTCTCTCTAGGACCATGACACTTCATTCTCATTGAGCAGAGTCGCATTTTGAAACTTGATGAATCTTACGACAGGGCACTTGGAGGATGGCTGTGGAGGCTCATGATGAGCTGACATGCTTTTCCATGAATATGAAAGGGGAGGAGGGGGAAGAGAGTCTCCCGAGATCCATCTATCTTTCGTTCTCGCTGCTATATCCAGGGCCCCTTCTCAAAATGAAGGCTTCGAGGGGAAAGAGAGAGAGATAAGGAGGAGGGGGAAAGGACCAACTTTTTCGTCTTTTTTTCTGAAATTCCCAAAGGAAGTGAAGCTATCCTTGAAATTGGCTCTGTGTCGACCCCACCTGCTGTTCTACGAAGTCTTAATGCCATAAAACTGATCTCACTGCAGGGTACACTCATTTAGGAACTCATCAATTTCCTAGTATTCCCATATATTGCTGTCTGTGATAAGAAAAAAAAAGGAGGCCTGCAAGCGCCTTATTGGATAGTTACTCCTTACTTCTTTCGAACTTCGTCTTTCGGGATTAATCGAGACAGTTCTGCCCTTTCCCTTTTCTTCTCCCTTTTCATTCTGCCCGTTCTCCTTTCCTGCCTATCTTTCTTCGGATTAACTGTATGCACAACCCCTGGAGTAATGTGAAACTTCCTCTGCGGCTGAACGCATGGGTTGATTGGATCTCCGGCTCAGGTTCCCTGGGGGTCATTCGATCGGTTGAGGGCATGAATATGCGTTGCATTTATGCTTTGCATAATGAAGACGACCAGATCTCGTCTCTCTGTCTTGTAGCTTGCCTCCTCGTTTCGGCCGAGCACCCTGCTAAATGAGCGGAAGACACACACCCCCAACTCACTTCTTGGAAGGTTTTGCATTTACATTAAGGTATTTCTCGTATTTCCCTGGAGCCAAATTATAACTCATTGGACCAATTCATTAATTTTTAGTCATTTACGGCCAATGTTTCAGTATTTTCTTTAAGTGGATATACGCTTTATATTTAAGGGCAAGGAATGGTCTGGGTAGCCTTGCCGATGTTTCTTCGCTAGTGAAAATTATTTTAGAGATGCTAGGATGCAGGAATCTAGTGAAAGAAATGGATGGAGGACATTCAGTAGTAGAATGGAACGGCGAAGGGGGGCGAAAGTGGAGAGTACGAGGTGGCCTGCTGTGTTACGACTATTTTGCTAAATTAAGTGGACTGTTTGTAGGATGTTCAGTAGTGGTCTGGAATGGGCGAAAAGGAACGAGAGGGGGGAGTACGAGGTGGCTGAGGGGTTATCGGCCACATTGTTCTGTGCTGTCTTGGATTATTACAAGACCGGCGCCATCCGATGTCCACCGTCCGTCTCCGTTGCAGAACTTCGTGAAGCCTGTGACTACCTTCTCCTGCCTTTTGATGCCGACACCATCAAGTGCCAAAACCTCCGTGAGTCTCCTTTCATCTCCTTCTTGCACTTCCTTGCCCTCCATCAAACGAAAAAATCTTTGATCTCTAAAGGCCTCCTGTGAAATTCATGAAGCATCCTCGTAGAAAGCTCTCCCCTGGGCGAGGGGAAGAGACATTCATGAAATATGCAACACTTTACAATGGTTTTCTTTCCCTTCTGCTATCCGTATGTTTCGAGCGCCTCTTTGATTCTTCTTGATTTCTTCCCATCAGTCATGAATAGCCGTACTGTCGTTTCTATGGGAGGAGAACAAGATTGTCCTTGTTCGTTGCAGCTGGGGATGACGCTTCGTATGATGAATGATGCTCCCTTTCCTCTAGCTTGCTTTCTTCTTCCCCACCCCATGTAAATTGCTATTCTCTGTTCCCCTCCGTTCCCACATGAGAAACGATGGCGTTGCAGGTACCTGTTAGGCCTATAGGGTAATGGATGAATATTCAAGCCTTTGAAGACAGCCTGTAGGCTCCAGCTTCCCGTAACAAATTGCATGAGGATGTCTCCCTGACTTTAGTTATTAATGAGGAATAGGCTCACTCAGGGCGTCATATCTCTCATAGGAATTTAAAACCCTAGAAAGAGATTGGGAAAAAGGACGTGCGAGGATGTTGATGACTCTTTCAAAACCCTGGAAAAATGCTGAGGAGAGAAAGGAGGTGGGGGAGGAGGAGGAAGGCAGTTGTGGTGACACGAGAGGAGCAATGGATTTTTTTACGGATTCCGTGACCAGGCGTCACGGAAGCCTTCTTTTTATTTCATCTTCATCGCATCAATCAGGGAAAAACCTCTTCAGTCACGAGACTTGGTCATACAGTCTCTGGATGGAAAAACTCGACGGCAGAGGCACAAAGGAAAGAGGGGAGGGGATGCGAAGGAAGATAGCGAGAATCGATGAATGGATGGACGGATAAAGCATCGGAATTCGATGATCTTCCCTCGAGGGTTCTGACCCATAATGACAGATTGAGAGAGACGAAAGAAGACAGTAAGAAAGAGTATTTCTTCCTTTCATTCCCATCCCAATAATGTAGAGTACAGAAAAGGGTTGGAAGAACGAGAGAAGGGTTCCCGGGATTTATTTCCTTGGTCTTTCTGTCTCTGTATTCTTCCGAAAACACTTCAGTCCTAATCCTTACTTCTGGGATGCGTTGATATGACAGTGAAGGAAGATCGATGACGAGCCTACGACTCCCTTCAGGCTCATCACAAAAGATGTTCCTCGTCCTTTGAATGCCCGCCTGGGGAAATCCTCGTGTCTCAACGTGCAAAGGGGCACAACTATGCTGATGATAACAGGGATTTACTCTTCTTATCTTCTATTTTTTCTCCAAGTTTGCTGCAGACGGTCTGAATATCAATGAATTTCGGGTTCCATTAAGGTATGGGGTGACTAGAGAAACGAAGATAACATGCCAATAAGAGAAAGGGATAGCAGTGCAGACGATGCGCTTTGTTTTTTTTTTATTGAATAAAGGTGGATTCATGTCAATGAAGTGAGGACGTCTGTCATTCGTAGAAGGTCCTTCCCTTTCAACACATGAACAATGAATATTCAAGCGTCTTCAGGAATGTTCACTGTTGCTAGCCATCACCTCAATTAGTTAAACAGCATCAGTTCATATGAAACATGAATCAAATATAGGAGGCCTCCCCCCCCCCTATTTCAGCTCGATATTTTGCTGAGCCAGTGAATGCGCATTGCCGTGTGATATATTCAAGGTGGCCTGTTGCATGAGCTGAGCAATGAAGGTGCTCGCGCCCAGTTTGAGAGGTTCTTAGAAGAGCTCCTCTTGCCAGCTATGGTGGAATGTGCCCAACGTGGAGACCGTGAGTGCCACATAGTCGTTCTCCTCGACGAAGACAGTGTGGACTGGGACGACCAATACCCTCCTCAAGTCGGCGAGGAATCCTCTCAAGGTACGACGACTTCGGTCTCCATCCTCCTCCAACTAACCAACTTATCCAAAACATTTACAGTTTCACCGCATCTTCGATCATGCATTCTGTGTGCCACGTATTTGCTGAAGCGCCTTTGTGGGGCGAATCTCATCTGTAGATGGTCATTAAAAAAAAAAAGACGCAGTTGAGTATGTGTTCCCTTAGAGTGAGCTCATCATCCTCGAATCACCTCAATTGAGTTGTTCACCCTAATGGAAAAGATGGTTGAATGAACATGTCATTAATCTTCTGCCTAGTGCGTCTTTTAGAAGGCCTTACTGCGGGGAGCCCCCTGATTGGGGCCCGCTCTGATAGGCTTCCATGCCATGCCATGAATGCGGATACTTCGTGGTTCCATTACATGCTGCAGCTATTAGTAATCAATCGTGGTAGTAATGCTTCAGCTCACATACAGTGTATGAAACGTCACTGACTAATTTTTTTTCCATCTCCTTTCGGGTTTGATTTTTTCAAAATCTGACATTCTTTGATGCAGTAACAATTAGGATTTCATATGGCAAGGCAACTTTTAATTGAATTGCTTCCAGGTTGAGGCTTGGTGCAGGAAAATAGTTTCCCTGTCTGTGGATTGGTGGGTGTGGAGCCATCGTCTGGCCAGCATGTAGCCTTTACGTTACCTCATGTAACTTGTTTTTGTGGTGTTATTCAAAAGAAGAAATTGATGATGAGTGACCAAAACATAGGAAGAACTTGAAGCCACCATCCCCTAGAAAGAAAATGCCATTTCAGGTCAGAATTAACATGCAGTATGTGAAAAATTCAAGCTGAGGATTGAAAAAAATGCACTGGCGAAAAGAGGTGACATATTGAATATTTTAAAGTGGAGGACTGTCTTTATTTTGTAATGAAATGTTTCCCAAAGAGTTACCTTTGAGTTATTATATGAATCGAATCAGATGTCTTCTATAGTTCATGATTTATTTGAAAAGTGAAATGATCTGTGATTTTTCGTACACCCTGTACAGTAGAATGCATGGCACTCATGTTTGGTGCTTTCGATTTTTGAATCAGTGATTTCTGTTCAATGGACTTGAAAGTTTATAGTTGTATGTGGCATTTTTTTGCTGAGATATTTCCAAGCACAATTTTGCATGTTGAGTGGAGTTGAATTCTGAATATGTTTCTTTTCAGCTGTTCACAGCACAGCGTTGTACCGGTTTTTCAAGTACATCGAGAATCGAGATGTAGCAAAGCAGGTGTTGAAGGAACGAGGTTTGAAGAAGATCCGGCTAGGTATTGAGGGTTATCCCACATATAAAGAGAAGGTGAGAAGACGTCCAGGTGGCCGGGCTGAAGTCATCTACAACTATGTCCAGAGGCCTTTCATTCACATGTCATGGGAGAAGGAGGAAGCTAAGAGCAGACATGTTGACTTCACGGTTAGTTCCATGCTCAAAAGTTAGATGATGTCACCAAATACATTTGTTGTGCCAAGCATCTTACTTTGCTGTGCTGTAAACATGTCAGGACAAGCTCTTTGAACAGTGCATTTTACTGATATATCAAACTTGAGCTCTCATAAATCAAAATGAAATTTTAGTGCTACATCACCATTGCTTTTCCCAAGGGATAGTTAAAGCAGTTAGCAGGATGCTGGTCTCTTGAGTGATTGAGGACATATATTCTGGGAAGAATTGCATTTTCAGTGATGCTTTCCATACTCTGTTATTTGGAAACAGACTTAAGCTTTGTAGCACAGGGAATGTGTCTCCAATGGATTTTTAGTAGCTTGCGTGGTAATCTCTTCAATGTGCTGTATTTAATATAAAGATGTTCCTGTAATGATTAATTACATCTGATTTGTGACACTTTCTTGTTGCAAATTTCTTATTATTACTTGCAGTCTCCCCAGTTTCAATTGTCATGAGTTAGATTTTCATGCTGAGTTCCTAGCCTACCCAAGGTTTGTAAATGTATTGGAATATCAAGAGGCCCTATCCCTGCTCAAAGAAGTTGAGATTCTGCATGACATATACTAAGAAATTGACATCAGGTGCTTTTGATTGCTGCATCACTGTAACTTTGGGCTATGCCCTGTCAATTCTACCACATTTTACACTTTTTGTGCATTAAAATTTTTTCTTTTCTCTAATTTTGAAAAGAAGTAATATATGGTGGTTGTAAACTTTGATTTTGGATTTCATTAAAATAGGACAAGAATGAAAAAAGATATACCATGCACTATTTTTGGCATCACTGTATGTCTTTTGGGTTGATCATCATGCTGATCAATGTATCATGCTGAGGTCAGGTTTGGCATTAGCAATTCATGTGCATTGAACATGTCAGATTATGGCATATCACTTATAACTCCCTTGGACCAGAGTGAGTTTGCAATAGTCCAAAAGGATGAAATAACTCCAATTTGGCATCTTCTTTTGTGGGAGCATGGTCTACTGTATAACAAGGATGCAACACTTTTTGGAGTTATTTGGAACCATTTCATCCTTTTGGACTACCCCATTTCTGTTCTGGTCCAAGGGAGATATGCCATAATGTGACATATGGATATGAACTGCTCATGCCACCAGTACACAGGTAACACCAGTACAAGAACATATTGTACAGCCTCCATTTGCCTGAAAAAATGCAGCTTAAATTGAAGAAGATTCTTGTGAGGCATACGGTTTGACAATTAACCCTTTTAGTGCCAGAGTCAATTAGATCAATGCTAATAACTTGTTGAAAAATGCCAGGGATGAAGAATGCATTTATTAATTTTTTTATTGCCAGATCTTCGACTCTTGCACTTTTAAATGAAATTCATAGTGTCAATCTAATAGATTCTGACACTGTAAGGGTTAATTATTTTACTCTTTCTATTCCTGATCTTGTGTTTCAACATGAAGTGCATTGTTCATCAGTAACTTATGTAAATGGGAAGAATGAAAACTACCAGTGTGTACAATAACAGTGACTCATGACTCTTATTTTAGTCAAGTTTTGATTAGATTGGGTGAGCACTATGGCCTATGTGCCACCTAGTGGGCTGCAATCATGAATAATAATAATAAATATTTCCCAAATTGATATGGAGTTTTGATTTTGGTGGAAATGGAAAAACCAAAATGAGAGTTGAAAATTACAATTGGACATCTCTCAAGCTTAATTTAAAGCAAACTTGTTGCACATGTAATGCAGCAGTAACCCAGATGTACAGTAGTGCCAAAACTAGCAAGTGCTATTTATTTACTTATTTTTATCCTAATTCAATGAAATCCAATCTCCATGCCAATCATATCTTCTTGCCAATTTTCAAGTAAGTCAAAATCAGGCAAGTACACATTGTGGTGGAGTTGGCATAGAATGATCCTTTATTAAATGCATGTTTAAGTAACAATATTTTCCTTTAGACTCATGAGGTGGTCATGTGTGTTTCTTTACAGTGTTTGAAATCCAAGTCAGTAACAAACTTGGCAGAAGCCTCAGCAGATCCTCCAATTGATGGGACACCCCCCCAGGTGACAGCAGCAAGTCTCCCTTTGCCTCCTGTGGATATTCCACCTCCTGCACCTGCAGCAGACACTGAGGAAGCAGGTGCAGCTGGTGGACCATCTGACCCCCTTGAACGCTACCCAGCCAATATCCCCATCCCACCTGAGGAAAGCTGATTTGCCTTAGAGATGAGAGAGAGAGAACTAAGAGAAAAATTTTATATGAAAACAGGTTTCTTTGCCTGATTTTTCCAGCTATGTTCTTCCATTGTTGCTCTCTGGCATTGCTCATTGCCTCAACCGGGAAAAGATTGATTACAACGTGACTTCTCGATGATATCCCCGTGTGAGTCTCATCAATGGCTTGTGATATGCCTTCAGATCTTTCATTTTTGCATTCTCCTCCCTTTTTATTGGAAGACTCCCATCATCTTTCTTGCACGTCAGGAACCTCATCAACATCATTCCATGAAACCCATAATATGGAGAGTTCAATAATTTTTTCTCAAGGCTTTGACTTAATCCTGAGATCTCCAGTTGTGGATGTACAAGTTCAATACTCTCTGCTTCACAGCTTTTCATCAGGTGGATTATCATTCATGTCATTCAAGACCTATCAGCTCAAATATATCCAATGTTGGATATTTTATGGAATATCTAAGACATTCATGGTCCATGATGTGTTCTATCAACAAAAAGAATGTCTGAAACCTTGAGTTGTGTCACACCGCCTGTTGTTTCATCAAATCAGGCCTGTTGTCTATGTCTTCGACTTTGCTGTCTTTTTTTTCTGTGGAGTTGGGGTTTCTCATGTCGAAAGTCTGTCTCCTTTTTTTTATTAATAAACTTCTACATAAGAATCCCTTAGCTTCTATTTTTAGTCCATATCAAATTGGTTGACTGTGGTAATTTAAAGATATCCAGCAGGACTTCTTATATGCTGCAGAACACACCCATCTGAGGCTGGTAAGGCAGTTCATGCAATATAATAAATATTGAAGAGACCAATCATATTTCCTTTCTTGATGTTATCCTTCACTCTTCCTTATAACTTTCCAAAAATTCTCACATTATTCATTATGTGCATAAAATTCGCCACATGAAATAAGATTGGTTCTAGACGTTCTACTGCCGTCATTCAAATGCATCACAGCTCTTTCTGAAGCATAATGTGATGCTGCTCAACCTATCCAGCTATAAACGGAAGATGGAAAAGACTTACCAAAAGCTTACTCGAGAGTGATTCAAAAAGTTGTTGAAATGACATTGCAACTGGATAATTGCTGTCAGTTTTGATGAAACTTGCGCACCTCAAAAAGGCGCTTCCCTTGTCTTCAGGAGCTTTACAGTACTCTGATCGGGGTTTGCAGTTGGTAGCTCCCTTGGCTTCCGTGGGTGGGGACCCAGGTTTGATACCAACCAAGTCAGACATAAATTGCCTTGTCAGGTGTTTGAGAAGGAAGACTCCTGAGCACTTGCCACCCTGTCTCCAGGTATAGGATGTTAACGGTCGAACCCGGGAAGTGTATCGTTGGGGTAACCATATTAACTAAATCGAATACCCCAAGGTTAGTGACTACTTTCGGTGCTGGAAGAAGAGAAGGAATCGCTGGTATTCCAGAGCGAAGGCGCATTCATGTGTCTGGAGCCTCTTTTCACTAGTGGCATTATATATGTTATCGTATTGTATATACAGGGTATCCCAGAAACCCTGCCTCAAGTTTGGATGGAGACTAAGACTAAGTGAATGGACACATCAAAATTGTGTTATTATTATTTATTTCAGAGTATAGCATCTAGCATCTAAAAGAATATGGAAGCAGGGATTCAATCTTTTTGCCAATCAAATTGGTTCCCATTCTGATCATGACACATACGGCATCGCCGGGGAAAGTTATCCACTGTTATCTGGCACATGTCCAAGCTTATGGCATTCACTTTGGTGGAAATTGCGTTGATGAGGTCAGGGATGTTAAGGGTTTTTTTTTGCATACACCTCTTTCAAAAAAAACCCACAACCAGTAATCACAAACCATCAGGTTTAACAGCAGTTGTTAAGAAAGGACTAGGCTTTCGATTGATACAAAACTCATTTCCATCGGAAAAAAATAGGCATAATAATGTACAAAACTTGAGGCGTGGTTTCTGAGACACACTACTGGGTGGCGCAAAAGTCTCTGCATTTTTGACTAGCTACACTTTCCTCACGTAATTCTTACCAAGCTTAACAAACAAAACAGAAACTGGTCATACTAGTTTCAGTAATTGATACATCAGTAATTGGTCGTTCGACCACCAACAGCAGCTGCAACCTCGATCCTCCTAGGGAAAGATTCGATTAGGTTTTCCAGCGTGGCCAGCGGGATTGAATTCCACTTCTCAGTGAGTCGAGTCACCAAATCTTCCCTGTTTCGGGGGCGAGGAGCTTCGAGGACGGAATCTTGTATGGCCCATGTGTGCTCTATCGGTGAAAAGTCCGATGATGCACCAGGCCAGATTCCTTTGGACCAGACGTTCTGAACTTCCTCCCTCAGCAGCTGCAGGTTCTGGCCAGAACTGTGGCCTGGGGCCCCATCCTCCTGGAAAGTGACCTTCCCTGGTCTTCCAGTCTACTTTGATAACCTGAAGGATCAGAAGTTGTTTCCGAACCCAAAGGTCAATCCTCCCACCTCCCATACGTCCGATATCAAAATATCAATCATATTTTTTCCTCAAATGCACAAATCATACTTTCTCCCTTCTAAAACGGTGGAGCGTTTCTTGTAATCACCCTCGGTCACTGGGTCAACGACAGCGCCCTCTATCGGGATACAGCACCATTTTTCGGAAGTGAAAAAACCTGTTAGGGTCATGAACCTCTTAGTGTGAGACCTTCATGAGTTTTTTTCTAACTGATGCTCAAAATTTAATTGAAATTTGTCGGGCCAAGGCAATATTAGTAGCAATTGTTGAAAAGAAGTTAAATTTTGAGAATGGACAAGAGCTCCTGCTGGTGATGGAGTAAAGGAAACATTCAAGCGAAACATTCAACCTCATGGTCAGCAAGACCACGTCAAATTCCTCTTCTACTTAAATTCATTCATTTGGCTGGTCGTAACATGCAGATGGTTTTCATGAGCTTTTATCATTGAATAGCCGATGAATCAATGAATATCAATTGAGAGTTCTCTCGAAAGTTCATTTAGATTTTGAATTACGTTAGCCTGAGTCCGTAGGGTATGACATAAAGACCAACGACTTTGAGTGTATCATATGGTTGCGCAAGCTATCTCTCTGAATTCGCTAAGGATGTAGCATGTCTTCGTTTATTTGAAAGGCTGCAAGGCTGCAAAAATCCATTAATTCAAATGAAAGTTATAAACGACATTCTTTAACAGCTTTAAATTTGAAACGGACAGTTCCTTCAAACAAACAAAAAAAACAAGGAAAATTATAAATGAACTTTGAGGAAACTCCTTGGATTGATACTCAATGGTTCATCTGCTAATCATTGGGAATGAGCTCATGGAAACCATCTGCAAGAGACGACCAGCCAATTGAATGAATTCAAATGGAAGGATAGTGCTTGGATGTTTCCTCCACTCCTCTTTCAGCCGGAGCTCCTGTCCATTCTCAAGGTCTAACTTATTTTCAATAATTGCTGCGAGTATTGCTTTAGCTCAGCAAATTCTGATGATATTTTGAGAATCAGTTGGAAACATATGCACACATGCATATTGAAGGTTTCAAGAAAATACTAGTAGCTCTAATGTGAGCGGAGTTATTTAGGTTAAAAATCAATTATAATTATTTTTGCTCTAACCTGTATAAATATGCTTTAACTACTTCTGACTTTCTTTGCTTCACATCATGAATAATTATTTGTTCTTGTGCCCTCATGTCTTCGAAAGCGGCAGTAACGTTTCGTAAAGTACAGATCAGCACTCTTCTGGACTTAACTGTGAGATGGAAGCAGGGATGGGCCCATTGCAATGTTAATCGGAATTACAATAGAAGACTTAGCAGACTCCCGTCTACCAATGTCCCCATCAAGATTCCACAACTTTAGTACAGCCAAAATAAAAAGTGACCAACTTAGGAAAGAAATACCATATTTTAAATTGAATTGTTTTCATATTTTCTTCGTTGAATTTTTTGTTGTTGTGAGGATTGGTGTGACATGAACTAGTTCTGGCAGTAGAATGTAATCTGAACTGGACCATGAATAGGTGGGGTAGATGCATGCATAATGTTCTAGTTCTCCTATTCGTGGTCCTTACAAGCAATGGGTCATCCCAATTTGATTCATTTTATATTTTCGGAAAAATTTTCGCAATCAATTGCACTATGCTTCCCCAATTTCCAATCGAGGAACTCGATAAAAGGGACCGAGATAGTAGGCATTGACCATTTGCTGAAATAGTAATCCCGTTTTCCTACAACACTTCTGAGAGTAAATAAATAAAAAATAGTTGGCGTTTTTGTGACTCATGTTACGTTTAAAGAACACAATCTCTTTGATTCCATATTCAGAAATTAATATCTGCTTTATCTAAAGAAATATATAATTTTCACTTTAACTCACTTATAGGCAAGCATGAAGGACATGTTTCACGATGTCTAAACTCCAGAATCTACGAGTATCTTTAGAAAGTAATAACATGAAAAGTTGGTCGTGACTCATGTTACACAAAGTTGAAGAGCCAAAGAATGCTAATGTAAAAAAAATTGTGTATTACCCCCATTTTTGGTGCAATGCACTTGAGTACAACTTGTGCGCAGTGTGGTAATATCAAATATCCTAAATTGTAATCGACCCGTATCTGGATGGGAGCATTCTTCCCCATAGCTTTTACGATGTCAGAATGAATCTCAATACCAGTTTTTCCTAGCAACACACAGAATTTGATAATAGACCGGATCTGTTCCTTATCAAAGGATAGGTTGGGGGAGGGGGACGGGGGAGGAATTAAGAGTCCCATTGGCCACGCTACTGGTCTGCTTCATGTTTACAGTAATGGGAGGAGACATGGTGGGTTGCATAGAAAGCCATGGTTTAGGTCCTCACATTGGCATTTATTGACCAAAAAAGGCTGCAACTCAGTAGCAAGAAGCAAAAATGACATGAAGTGACAAAAAGGGACAAATTCTTACCATCTGACACCTGCCATACCAGAATTTGTCACCTTTTGTCACCATGTCACTTGTGCTTCTTGCTGCTGAGCCGCAGCTCAGCTAAAGCTATGTTAGAAGCTAAAACATGGTTTTCTATGCAACCCGTCATGCCCTCTTCCATTACTGTAAACACAATGTGAAGTAGATGGGTGGTGGACTGAGATCGGGGCGAAAGTAGAATCTTAACGACCCCATCCAATACCGCTGTTTTCACAGTTGCGGAGACGCCGAACAAGAGCCGCTCATTTTAAGCAGAGAAACTGGGATTTGGTTGGCGCACGCTCAGAGTAGTTTAAAATCACAAGATACTGGAAAATGAAATATTTTTCGTTGCTCCGATGCGCAAGAAATCAGCAGGGTTAGTGCGAGAAGTTAATGACGTCGTATACCTGCACGCGGCCGTGGAATCGTAGGAAGAGAGAGCCATGCGACTATTTTATTCTCCTTGCCAAGACCTTTAATTTCCCGGATTTCTATATTTTAGCATAAGTCGTCCAACTGATGCGAGTAATGCGAGACAGGCAAAATCCATCTAATATGCAACATCTATCAATCCCTCAAAAAAAAAAAACAGTGCAACAAGTAACTTACAGACAGCAAGACAGACAAAGACAGCAAAGCCGATATACCGACGATTTCTTAAGTATTTTACCTTAAACTACTCACTGCTGCAGGGCAGGCTAGGCCTAACCATCTTTTCGGTACA